TGGGGCTACAGTGGAACAAGCGATCGGATTAGGTAGGACTTGAGAAACTCTTTGATGGAGAGACAGAAATGTGTGGGGGGAAAGGGAACGAATCATTCAACTTTGACTTTTTGGTATAGGATACAGTAGCAGACATGCTGGCTCCGTTGCACACCTTTGATCTTTTCCTTTTTTAAAGTAACTTAGGCTATTACATACGTAAAATACAAACTAGCAAAAAATGTGGTGCAGGACGATTAGGTGCATTCTAGATTGAGTGTTATCTGTATATTTCTTTTTGACATACCAAGTCTTAATCTGTTTTTATTTTGGATATACTGAAAAGAATCTGGTTATGTTTTGTTTGGTAATACTGAATATCATGAAGAATTAGCAAAGCTTTAACCTATAAAGCTGACAAAGCATTTGTCTTGGTATTGAAATCTAAATAAAAATTGCTGTTTAAAAAAAATGCAATGTCATTCTCAGTTTACTTCCCTAGTCTTCAGTGGGAGTCTTTTTCCTACTTGAAATTAAGTAACACACTCACCACAGTTGTTTGAATTCCTTTCTTGTGCCTTACCAGGTTCACAGTTAACAGAAGAATTTCCATAGTGGGATTTGGATTATATGGATCTATTCATGGACCCACAGACTATCAAGTTAACATACAGGTACAGTATATTATGTTTAAATAGGCTTGTACACTTGTAGGAACTTGCAAAAGATTTTGTCTTTATTTGGGAGGGAGCAATTGATAGGCCAGGAGTCTAAGCTGTGTTTTGTCACAAGTGGGTGTAAGTGGGTGACTAGGCAAAAGAACACAATGGAACTCTGTTCCCTTTCTCCTGTATTCTCCTGTCCTTTAATCATTTTCAGTGTGGGTGTTTCCCAAAATCCAGCTTTTTCCCTCTTTCTCAAACCTTTCCTAATAGGAAATATGTACTGATATTTTACTTGGGTATGTTATGTCCTTCAGTAGCCTGCATACTTCTTATAAAGATTTGATTTTTGTAATTGTTCCTTTTAGTTTCTTTTGAACAAGCTTCCTCACTTTCCTCTTTTTTAAATATAGGACAGCTGTGGGGGATTTGCTTTTGTTCATGTGGGAGTGTTGACTCTAAGTATATTATAGACACTGTTACATAGTGTTTCCATTATGAAATTTTGAATCTGATCCTGCTCACCAAATCAAGGGTTGCGTTTCTTCCTGCTGAGCAATTGGTTAGCAGGCTCATGAAGTGGCCAGTGATAGCATCTAAAAATGTCCCCCTGCTTCGTCTCCTGATGTGACCCTTGCCTGGTCCCAGCAGGTGATTGGAGACACAACTAAAATTGTATTTCCTGCTCCTGTAGCCTGTTAGATCCCTTAGCATGCTGTCGTCAGGGTTGTCTTCTAGTAGTATTGATCCAGCACTATATTTTGTTTTCCTTTTTGAGTGTGGGATTTCAGTCTATTTGAATTATTTTTCTTGTAGAGATTAGTTTTGTTTTGATTCTAAGCTTTCTAACAAGATATTAGGATTCCATAACTGGCACAGTTTTACCTTGTGCTGTGTATTTCATAATCTGGTACTATCATGTCACATTGATTTATTAGGTGCATGAGAAATTTTGTGAAATAAATAGTCTATGACTTCCTATAGGGGCAGAAGTTCTATTGTCCCTATCTTTCTAGACTCCCAGCCTGTGTGCTAGAATTGCTCTTTCAATTCATTAGTGGAAATTCTGTTTAAATGACAAATTGTCTTCTGCTTCCTATTTGATGATTTTTATTATCTGACTACTCTGTACTTAAGGATAGGGATTTTGTGTCTGTCTCCTAAGGAAAAAAATGTTGTCCCTTTCTTCTTAATGATGTTCCAAACAGAATGTATCTGGAATGACTTTTGAAGAAATTTGGCTTTTCCACATTGCTCACTTGAAAAGTTCACCTGCAAATTCCTCTATTTGAAGTACCTTCAGTTTGGTTTTGTCAAACTATACATCCATGTAAATGAGTAGCATAGTGCACTAGACAGGATCTTTAGAACAAGAGTTGATCTCAGGAACCTAGCAGCTATACTAAACATACCTGAGGATTTTTACTTCACATAAACCCTTTTTTGAACCTCTCAGCTGAATTCTTGTTAGCAGATGCAAGCATTCAGTGTGTTCCCCTCAGTATGTTTGCTGGATTTATTTAATCTGAAAAGAATTCAGGTTTTTTCAATGCAAACCAATGCATATTAAATGGGAATGATTCACTTGAAAAAAATCCTCCAAAGATTCAAACTGAAAAGCTGAATAAACCTTTATCGTTCATATTGAGGCTATCCATCTTATATAGGTTCTCTTTATCCTGGAATTATCCCTAATAAGTGAGGAATCTGAAACTTCCTTGTCACAATCTTTTCTGACAGTTAAGTCTTGTACCTCTAGCTTTCTTCTTGACTCTGCATCAGTACTAGCAGAGCTCCAGAGAGCTAAACATTTAAAACTTAGTATAAAATAGTGCCATATAAAATAGTGATAATGTATACTGCAAATATATCTGTTGTGTGAAAAGGGCTTAAATCTTCAGCATTATAATTGTTAATGTTTCTATTGATTGTGGCTAGGGAAGAAACTAGAGTACACTTTGCCTAGAATAGAGCTTCATTTCGTGCATGGGTAATACTGAGAATTATATGGCAAGTTAATAAGAAACTATTAAAACTGATAGGATTCTTTTTAGTGCAGTAATCACAAGAAGTGCTGTGCTCTAAAGCTCTGATATCCAATTTCTGCAAGAGGTATTGGGCAGCAAGAATCAGGATTGCAATCCAAAATGGGAAGGAATCTGCTATTACTACATTGAAACTAGTGATTCTTACTTGCCACTGAAATGGAAAGCAAATAAATATTGCGTCATCTGAGTAGAATTTTTATAGTGAAACAAAATTAAAAATAAGTTGTATAAAACGTAACATGTTTTCTTTTATGAAGGTGTCATTGACTGCCTACATTATCTGTAAAAACTTGTTTTTTAAACTAGCCACAGGCAGTAAATGAGATTCCCTCATGTGGGTTGTGAAGATGTACAGAAATCAGCAAATCTAAGCACAGGATTAGATGTTGCATATGAAGGTCAGGAGCTGAAGGTCTGAGAGCTCCGGTGCATCTCCCAAGCAGAGATTTGCCCTGGCTGGAGCAGTGCCCACAGCCCGTGTAACACTCAGAGCCATCGTTCCGAGCTGCTGTGTCAGCTCCAGTGGTATCAGGAAATCACAGCTCCTTCCCAGCTGAGACTGCACTGTCCTTGCAGATAGACTGGCTGGGGTAGGCAAGTGTTGGCTTGTAACCTTCTCATGTGCATACAATCAGAGCCTTTCTCACGCTTGTAAACATAAGAATACAATGTTCCTGCTTTTCTCAGATAATTGATTATGAGAAGAACCAGACTCTGGGACAGAACGACACTGGATTTAGCTGTGACGGAACAGCCAGCACCTTCAGAGTTATGTTCAAAGAGCCCATAGAGATTCTGCCCACGGTTTGCTACACAGCTTGTGCAACCTTGAAAGTAAGAATGTCTAACAGTACAGAAGAAAGTGTTACTTTGATGCAAGAGTTATTATTTTATCAGTCTTCTGATGGGAAAGTGTCTTCTAGATCTTGAATTTATTTTAAGTTTAGGGCTAAAGAAGGATGTAGTTAAAACTTTACTGTGATTTGTAAGACTGTTACATCTCTTCTGTGCCACAGCATGGAATTCATAACTGGATCCTTTGTGCCTTCCTACTTTTTTGCTTGATGTAGGAGTTAGGAGTTCTAATGAAAGTCACTGGTTCTGTGTGGGGAAAAAAGCACTATCTAGAAAATGTAATCTGGCAGCTTTCTATCAAAATTTAAGTTTGATTTTTTTTTTTTAATCAAGGATAGTCTAATCACTAGCTAAATTCAAGAAAACAGCTTTTTTTTCATCTCTTTTTATATACTAGTGCTAAATAATAGGCAAGAATTACTTGTTCTTAGAAAGTCTCCCCTTAGTGTTGTGGACAAATTTATTTCTCAAAAAAATTACAATATTCTTCTAAATATCATTCCCTTTGTTCCCTCAGCTACTTTTAATGTGCAGTATTTTTTCCAACCCACCAAACTCTGATTTCTGTATAGGGAATTAAGTGAGAATGCAGACAATCTGTGTGATGAAGAGAAATACTAGAAAGTATTTATTACTAGTTGGATAAAATCAACTGGTTTAAGTCTGCTGTCAAAGAAATATATTTTTATTATTTAGACATAGGGCCCTTGCTTCTGTTGCCTGTGATTGTGTATATAATTTTTTAATATGGGTACATTAATTTTATACTACTACAATAGCCCAAGTCAGTTGTATTTGACCATCAGCAATTTTTGGGTTTTGCCCACTTCCATTCTGTTGTTAATCTCTTGTGATATTTTTCAGGGTCCTGATTCCCACTATGGAACAAAAGGTTTGAAGAAAGTGATCCACGAATCTCCTACTGCTAGCAAAACATGCTTTGTCTTTTATAGTTCACCAGGTAACAACAATGGTACATCAATAGAAGATGGACAGATACCAGAAATAATATTTTATACTTAGTTTCACATGATGATCTGGAATGTGTTGGTGTCTCAGTGGACTTCAGCTCACTATTGGCAGCAGTTAAAAATTCTGTTAAATTACTTTAATGTGTAAAAACAAAACTAATTTGTTTGAGGGGTACCAGAAAAGCTATTTTTTCTGCATCACTATTGGTAGATTGTCATTTAGCTTTTCCTCTAAATGAAATGTTAAGTGGAATAAGTACTCTGTATATTGAAAGGTTTGTTTTAAGTAGTACCTTGTGGTTTATTACTTTGTGTTTTCACCCCTTTGTTTCTCATGTAGTAAAATCCATTTTTTGAACTGGAAAATCGTTACTTGTTATGAACAACTTGTGTATGTTTTCTCCAATCTGTCCTTAAATGAACAGTAAAGCTGCTGCTGTAGTCCCATCTTGCACTTCTTTCCAAAATGACCTTGGATTGACCCTATGGACGTGGATTGCTACTGTATTTTTTTGAAGTACATCAGCAAAGCTGATCATATTGCTATCATCTTGACTTTTTCCAAGAGCCATGGAGAATTAATGGACTTTGCACTGCAGAGAACATATGCAGCTGCACTGAAGAAATAAATATTAAGTCAAATTCAGCAACAAACAGATCTTTCCAGAATCTCTCTTAATTCAGAAGGGCTGTTTTGGAATATAGAACTGGTTATACAAATAGCCACTGTATATACATATGTGCCTATAAAAACTGTATAATGTAAAAATGAGAATACAAGACTTGTAATGGTGTTATTTTATCATTGGATATTCTAGTACTAAAAAAAAGTAGTATAAACCTAAGGATTATCGGTGTGCAACGAGTTTTACAGATTGCATCCAATAATTTGATGCAATTGCTGTATATATAGTATTCAGTGTCTTGCAGTATGTACCGTGTAGTAACAGAATGGCTTCGTGTACAAAGACCTGTACTCCCCCACATTATACTAAAGTAGTAATTTGAGAATGCAGGAGGAAAAAAAAAAAAAAAAAAGAAAATTTGTTTTCTCAAGGAGGAAGAGCGGGAGGTCACGCAGGTTTGGGGTGTCCGAAGGCTGTGTGTGGAACAAGTGCCTGTCACACGTCCAGCTCTGTGCGCTCCGCCAGCGCTCTCCTGTTTCATCCGAGACAGGGAATGGGGACCGGGCTGTGCGGGTTCAGCCGCTGCGGGCACAGGGTGATGCCGGGCCGGGCCGTGCGGGTTCAGTGGCTGTGGGCGCAGGGCCGGGCCGGGCCGGGCCGGGCCGGGCCGGGCCGGTTCAGCCGCTGTGGGCACAGGGCCGGGCCGGGCCAGGCCGTGAGGAGCGCGCAGGCGCCTCGGGGCGGGTCCGGCGCGGTTGCCGGAAGGGCCGCCCCGGCCATGCCGAGCCTCTCCGGGTTCCTGCGGGTGCGGGCGGCGCCGGTGCGGAGCGGCGGGGCCATGCCCGGGAAGGTGCGGGCGGGGCCAGGAGAGGGAAGGGGGGCCGGGGCGGGTGGTGCCCGCGGTGACCGCGCCTGTTCCTCTGTTTCAGGGAAAAGCTGCCGCCAAGGGTCCCGCGGAGCCGGGTGCCGCCGCGGGTCCGGTGGTGGCGGCGGGCGGCGGCTCCGTGAGGGTGGCGGTGCGCGCCAAGCCCGGCGCCCGCTGCAGCGCCGTCACAGGTGGGTCTGTGGGCGCCAGGCAGGCATCGCTGCACCCTGAGGAACAGGGCCGGAGGGAAGGACGGAACGCACAAAATCCCACCCGAAATCTAAAGGGAGGAGTTCGGCTCTCCAGGATTAGCTCGTTCCGTCCCCCCTGTATAGCGCTGGGTGGCGCGGTGAGCACGGAGTAAATCCTGATCCTAAATCCTTCCGTTTGGCATCTGTGGTTTTGTGCGGGCTGTTTGTTATTCAAGGGTCTGTGCGGTTTAATTAAAGCCCTAAAAATTGTATGTAATACAACGTGTTCTCCCTCTAGAGCCCTGGGCTTTCTCCTGCACGCTTTGGGATTGCTTTCACATCCCCCGTATGTGCGGGACCCAAGGGCTGTGGCAGTGTCCAGGCCCCTTGGGAACACAGGGAATTTCCTGACAGTGTAACTCTCTGAGCAGACTGATTTATCAAGCGGCTTGTGGGAGGGGTAACCTGGTTTGAGTCGTGTGCCAAGCAGGACAACAGCTGCACAAGAACGGGCAGGTGAGGGGAGCTCAGAGCGGTGCCCCCGTTGTGAGGAGGCTGGTAACTCAAAACTGCGCCCTGCTACTGCTGCTATTGTCAGGAGTTTATATTTGTTTGTACTTGCTAATGTCAAGGGAGTTTTTGAAATGTGAAAATGCCATCACCTGCTAATCCATACGTTTACTTGGTTTTAAATTAAAATGCTTTTGAAAGCATAAACATTCATTTTGAGGAAACTACGATTAGATATTTTAAATATTTTGAGCATAAAATCCTCCAACTGTTTGTTATAGATGTGACAACTGAGGCAGTAGGTGTAGCTATTGCTGCACCTCCTTCAGAAGGGGAGGCAAATGCAGAGCTGTGTCGATACCTCTCTAAGGTGCTCGAAGTGAAGAAGAGTGACGTTACTTTAGAGAAGGTACTTCCTTTTTTTCCTTTCAGTTTTGCCCTACTTGAAATTCAAGAGTTTGAAACTTACACATTGAGTACAGAGAGCTACTCCAAGATCAGTCTGAAAGACACTTTTAAAAGTGTAGTTGAGTTAATGGAATGATTCTTTGAGAATAAACTTAGTGTAGGAAGAACTATGGCTGATCTCGAGATCTTTTAATCAGAAGAGTTAGCATGATAATGTTTTGCAAATCTCTTTAGTTCATGTTTTCTTTGTTCTTCAAAGCTTCTCTTGTTTTCATGTCAAGTGAGTTCACAGAATTCGTGTTCTGCAGAAAATGTGCATTTTATTAATAACTTTTCACCTTTTTAAAAATAACTTCTGTATTTGAATCAAAAGATTCTGACATTTATCACACATAAGCAAGAGCATATGTAAGCACTTGGGTTGTAGTTGGGCCTCAAGACTTTCTCAGTATTAAAATTTACATGTCTTTACTTTAGTGAGTGGAAACCCTTTGTTTTATTAATTGCACTGAATAAATAATTTGTTTTATTAATTCATTGTACTTGAAGTCAGTCTTTCCAGCCATTTCCATTTATTGTATATGAGCATAAGAGCACAATGAAAAATGGTGCCTTTTATTTTTATCTGTTGGTTTAATGGAGTAGTTGTAGAAGTATTTTAAAGAGTAGTGGTAAAGCATAAGGTGACCAAGGAATGGACCACTGTGTTGTGAAAAGGTAGAGACAAAAAGATGTGAGTCTTGTTTTTCCTGAATCATGGGCAAACTGCTTAATGTGTTTATGAGCATTTTATAAATAGTGCTGTTTTCTTACCTTAAAGGGTGATTTTCTGAAAGATAGGTTTTTTCTGTGTTTGTCTAAACCAGGGGGGTAAATCACGTGACAAAGTGGTGAAGATTTTGGTATCAGCAACACCAGATGAGATTTTAGAAAAACTGAAAAAAGAAGCTTCCAGCTGACCTAAAACAAGAGCAGGAAATAGGAAAAAGCATCTCGGTATATGGACTGATACTCTTTCTTACTTAATGTAGTGCTGTTGAGAATGTGGATAATGACTACAAGAAGATACTTCTTCCCCCCTCACCCCCTTGCTAATACAGGTGCTGTATAATTGAAGTTTTTCTGTGGGTTTGGTTAAAAAAACTGAATCTATGTATCTGCTTCTGTCACTGCAGACTTCCTTCTGCTCTTGGAGAGTTTCCTGTGGGTAAGATTTGTCCTTTTTCCTGGTCTCTAAACAAATGGTTTAGGAAATATTTTTCATAGTGAAGCAAATATTGATTAACAAAGTGAGAGGTTTGGAGTGACAGCCTTCCGTGTAGGAAGTGGTACAAAAGGACAAATCTGGATGGCAGAGACATAAAGGTGACTGTTCTCTCTGGTATCTCACAGCAGGTACTGTGTGCAGCTTTTCACTGTGGGCACTTAGAGATATCTAAAATAAATGTTTTTGAAGCCAGTGTGCTGTTGTTGATCACACTGACAAACTGAAAGTAGAATCACCTGAACAACTGGAAGAAAACCAGTTTTCAGTATGAAAAACCAATGCAAAACCTGGTCATTGCACACATGGGGTCACTTTGTAATAATCTTTGTAATAGTTTCCTTAAAAGTAGAGATATGGTCATATATATCTTTGCCAACTGTATGTCACCTGTAATGACTGGTTTTAATAAAAGAGGCAAAAAGTATTATCAAACTTTGTTTTGTGTTTGTATTTTTAACAAAGAAAAACATTGTGTCCTAGAAGTCTCTTCATAGAATGCTACTTTTAAACAGCTGGTTCTTTACAATCTTTCCTTGGTCTAAAAATGAGTAGTACTGCAACCCCTAGAGAACAGAGCAGAGTCATTTGTAGAACAGAACAAGAAGTCTGAAACAAAACAGGCAACAACTCCAGTTTCAGGGCTGGTGAGAAAAAGGCTGAACTTCTCTATTTATCCTGCTTCAGAGGTTAGAGTGAGATTTAACTGACATTTCCCAAAAATGTGTGTGATTCCACACGTGTTTCCAATAGGACTTTGTTTTATCCTCTGCATCACTGTTGATGTCTGAAATTGTCCTGTATTGTCATGTTAAAAAGAAAGTAATGGCTGAAGGGAAAAAGATAAACTATTCTTAAGGTTTGTCATACATTCTCCTGGAAAACAAGGTTGCCATATTGATGCAGTACAGGTTTCATTGCTCATAATTTAGCTTTTTCGTGGGCAAAAATGTTTTGCTTTAGGGAACTCTTTCAATGTCCTGTTATCCTCAATATTGCAGCGGTTGCTTTTGGAGTTAAAGAGCTGGTGTTTGTCAAGATGACAGTTCCTTCAAGGTGACTTATTTTAAAGATGCTATGAAAAGTGTTACTTTCTGGAACTAAGTCTAAAATCTGAATTATGTTTGTTTAATGGTTTGCACCTAATTTTCTCAGGCATTTGGGCAGTCATACATTGCCTCAGTCCTCTTTCCTTACTTATCTTTTCAGTCAGCACAAGCTGATTCTGTTTTACTGTTCCATCAGTTTTGGTTTGCCCTCTCTGCTGTTAGATCTGCTCTTGCCCAGCAGAGGGGTGCCGTGTCTTGCAGAAAATTTAAGGCAAAGCAAACCAAGAAAAAGAGTAGGTGGTTTATTGTTGGGAGTTTTTCCTCTTATTTCCTAAACTTCTTACCATAAGTAGAAAACAGCAATAAAAAGACCAAGGAATTCTGTATTTATAAATTACATTTGGAATTGGATACTGCAACAGCCATTATAAAAATTTCTTTGAAAGCTTATATACTCTGTTTAAATCATGTATTCATTACACTTTCCTGTGACTTCAGACTCAGTCTGAGGGAGGAGCTGTGTGGACAGATACAGTCTCTGAAGTACATTCATTTTCAGTGATGATCACCTAAAATAGCCAATTTAGTTTTTCAGTGCCCTCTCTGTCTTGTCAACATGTTCTGCCTAAGCTTTGATGGCTTCTGACTTGGCTTCTTCACCTTTCTATACACCTTGAGTTACCATTCTGCATCTGTTCTTCCTGATCAGTTAAAGTAACTTGAATTCCTGATAGTGTGGCAAATAAAGCCTTTACATGCTGGGAACGTACAATTTATGCAGTATGAGTAAAATTATTTTAGAATGGTTGTATAAGTAACACTGGGATGTTGCCATATAGAATCATAGAATCATATCTGACAGCCTCTTATGTCAATGTTTTTTGTGCTGTCTTAGAATTATATCCCTAATACCTTGGTTGTGGATTTAAATAACCTGGTAATAAAATGCTTGGGAGGGAGGAACTGCTGGTCCACTGTGTATCAAAAGAGAGGTAGAGAAGAGCTAAGAAACTTGTGTGACCAAACAATGCCAGAACTGTGATTTAGACCTAGCTCCTGCAAGTCTTGTATTGAAATCCTAACCTGTCAACTGTCAACAGTAAAATGTCTTTTATTCTATTGAAAAAATTGTGGTAGCAAATATCCCTTACTCCAGCAGCATATATTTTAATAGAGCAGAGCTTTGTGATATTGTAAGAAGCTTCTTCCATAAATTTCAAAACACTTTACAAATTCCTGCTCAAAATAAATTCTTATTCCTGGACCAATTTAAAATCCCTGTGGTGCCAGTTGCTGCATGACTTTTACATGTTGGTACCTGCTTTATCCATATGTATTAAGCTACATGATTACTCAGCTATTGAAATCAAACACTGTCCTCTTTCCCTAATGCATGGTCTGACCAATTTCAGTAAAATCCATCTAATGGTGATTTAATATCTGACTGCTTGCAGACCTGCAGTCAGTGCAATTTTAAAGTATAATTAAGTTATTTAAACATTAGGAAAATAGAAGTTACCTGAATAAATTCTATGCCAGTCTTATGGCATAGAAGGGTCTTAGTCTTTCATCCACTCAGTTATATTTGATTTCTAAAATCCAGCTTTGAAAGTCGGTTTCATTGTAGTAGTGTAATATGCTAATTAAGGATATTTAATTATACCCTCTGAAACTGCCTCTTTGCTCTTTTTCTTACAATCCACTCCATTTATCATCTGCAGCGCATTCCTGTCTCCCCTTTTAGTCCCAAGTGTTTCTAACTCCTCAATTCTTCAGGTATCATCAGTTTAAATAATCCTGGATAATTGACAACTTTGTCAATAACTGGCAGCAGCAATTAGTGGAAGGCACAGTTTAATATCTTCCTGCTTCCAGGAAGATAAATACACCTGATCTTCCTGCTCAGTACTTCACATCTCGTTTCCCCTCTCATAAAGTTTATTTGCATGTGTAAAACTTGAACCAGCTGAGTTTTAAATGTTTTTTCTGCATTACTTCTACCTACTGCATTCACCTGTTAATGTTTTAGTCTTTATCTTGGGAAGATGATTCATTGCCATATTGACAGGTTTAAAAATAGGCTCCCCTGTCTTCTTTGGGGAACACAATGGTTTATCCTTCTGTAAAACCTGTTCTGGTTGTTACTCTCTAGGAAGGGGCTACACTTGAGGCAAAGTGCTCTTAATGCAACTGAGGCACAATAAAAAAGCTGCTGAAGAAATGAAATGCTTGCCTGAAAGGAGGAGTCTGGTACTTCTCTGAGATATTGCGAATTAGTTTCTTCCTAGTCCCTTATATATTGGCTTCTCAAGTAATTGTTACTGAGCTGTGATAGATTTTCTTTCATCTATAAACGGTGCATTTATTTGTTATTTCAAGAGCTGGGGAAGTTAGAGTGATGAAGTATCCACTGTGCCATCTTACTACAGCCTGAGGGTAAGTTTTTGGAATATTGTTTAAATAACATTCTGAGTTTTCAAATCTGAAATATGGCAGGTGAAAAAGGAAATATACTGAGTATCAGTTCAGCAGTTGGTCACTATAGAAACGTGCTGTAAAGAGAGCAGTTAGTCATGGACCCAAGGAAAAAAGAGCAAACAACAGAGGGTCAAAGCTTCATTTCATGGTGCTCAGATAAAGCAGTCATCTGCCTTAAGAGAATAACCAATGTTACAAACTATAATTCTGGGGTGATTGTCATTAAGTTGTTTTTTTTCCTAATACCTTGTAGGTGTGCAGTGCATGTGGGAAGGGCTGCAACAATGCTGTTCCCTTGGCCAGCTTTTGTTGTTGCAATGCTTTGCAAGCCAGGGAGCACTGAGGCATAATGTATAAAAAAATTCAAAGCTCTCAGCATGTGTTAGGACATACTTTGTGCCCAGCTGTCTGACAGGGGCATTGCCAAGTTGAATTTTTTAAAACAAGCTTTTTGTGTGGAACCTGTTTGTTTCTCACCAGTGCTACTTTCCGTAGCTCATCTTAAAATCTGAGAGGTTTTTTGCTTCCTTTCTGATGTTCAGAAGGTCTGTGGGGTTACATTTGATGGAGGTATCAGTACACGTGGTCAGCCTCAGCAGCCACCTTCCTACCACATCCTGGTGCTCTTGCTGCCTCTCACCTTCACCTGCTGCTGCTGTTGCAGGTAAGTGCCCTCCAGCAGGACCAGGCTCTCTGGGGTTGTTTCTGCTCTATTTGTCACATCAGCCTTGTTGCTGATGCTTATCTCCTGAGATGCCACCACATTTCTCTTTCTGTTTTTTGGGCAAACCTGTCCCTTCCAGTGAGGCCTTTTGGCAGCTCTTTGTAGCCTCCTGGCATTTGCCCTTTGATGAAATGTCTCCTTTTGTCTGCAGTAAATCTGACAGCAATCAGCCAGCACATATGTGAAGTCATGTTCCTGCTAGGAGGAAAGATTGCTGGTAGCTACTCAGATACAATTCTGAACAGGCAATTTTCTTCAGTTTCTTAACTGCCTTTTTACAATGGAAGTGCAAACTGTTAGTAATAAACCTGATAGGTTTATGGGGTTTAGGAGATCTTTCTTTTTTGTTCAAAAAACCTGATTAAGCTCATCACTGACTGAATATAAATGCTAATACATAGAGGGAACCAGCCAGGCAAATTGCACTTGGCTAATTTTACTTAATGAGAATGTCTGATTCTGTTCAGTCACTTCCTCACTGAGTTCAGGTTCAGCTGTTGAAGCAGACCCAGGAACTTTTTGTTAAATATTTCAAAAATATGATCAGCTTATAATGATGTTCTCAAAGTCTGACTTCTGTTTGCTGTGATTGCTATGACATATCAGCTAGAGTAAATTTTTTCCTTTATTTATTACCATGCCAGACAACCTTTCTGGCAGAAGATAAATGCAAAAATAGAACATCTGAAAACATTAATTTGACAATAGCTGTTGTTAAATTGTGGATGTGAGGCAAGGTCTGTCTTTCAGTAGTCAAGTACCTGTGTGTGTACAAAGTGAGAGAAAATGTAAAATCTAATTAAACATTACTTTCAGTAGTCTGAAAAGTATATAAATCCTAAATACACGAAAACAAGTAAAGTGACCCTGTCAGAGGAGGTGTTGATACACATTTTATGAACTTAAAGATAAAAAGAATGTGTAATACCAGAGCTTGCCATAAGCTGTTCTGCCAGCTTTATGGGGCCGCCTTTGCAAATCTGAATTTGAAAGGTGTTTTTTTTTTCACTGATCTTGCTGTAAGGTAGGCCTCCACAGGAAACATGTAGAAAACCTTTGGTTTCTCAGCTGCATATCATTCCTACTCACAAGTGAACCAACTTGGTCTTTTTACCTGGGAGGGAATTTAGTGAAGTGCTCCAGCTTTTACACACTTGGACTTCCAAACTTAAATAAGCAAATCC